TTTAGGGTTTGGGGTTTAGGGAAGGCTGTTGAGTCAACCTTGACCTACAAAACCTACTTTTTTTGTAGGTTCTGATTATAAAACCCACGCAGATTTACAGCACGGTTTCTGCTCAATCGATTCAATCACCCAAAGGGTCCAAGTACTTAGTAATCATATACTCTCCCAAATGTTAACCTAGATAACTACTATCCGCAACCAAAGTACCTTTTTGTTAGGTCCTTTGGGCCCTTAGGGCAGTTTTTGGCGAGCTGGCCGTTGTAGAGGGCTTGGTCCATTGGTCTTCAGGTTCGTACGGATCCCATGCCTGACAACTCAGGAACAAACAAAAGCTGCAGCCGTCCTTGGATGGCTTGTGTGCAGTGAGGAGCAAACGGCAAGGCTTTTCAGGCAGCAAACCCTCCCCACCCTAAACCCCTAAGCCCTAAACCCTGAAATGGACCTTTACCTTAAGACCGAGGATTCCGATTGTCGTGCTTTGGGTTCAACTAACTGGACTTTGAGGTTTGAAACCCTACACCCTAAACGCTAAGCCCCTGAACCACTAAACCCTCAAACCCGAAACCCGAAACGGATCGGAGCCGCCTAAACCCTAAACCCTAAACCCGTGTTGCTTTGGAAGTCCCCCATCCCTGCCTGGGATCCAGGTATGTCTGATTTCTCCAGTCGCTGCCGGCAGCTGGGTGTCGAAGAGCTCTTCCTCGCCGCGCTGAAGATGGGCACCTCTTCAAGGATAAGGTTTAGGGTTTAGGGTTTAGGGATCAGGGGACGTAGTAAGTAGGGTTATAAGCAAGGTATCTACTTAGCTATATCTACTTACAGCCCTAATTTAGGTATTTTGATGAAGCCTAAACCCGTAAACCCTAAACCCCGGCAACCCAAACCCTAAACCCTGCGGTTGATGATATACATCCTGCATTACCCATGGTAAGGAATATACCATACATCCCATAGTTTAGGGTCCTTAAAAAGGTAATGCAGGATCTATATCATCAACAGTAGTAAACCCTCCTGGACCCTAAACCTTAAACCCTAAACCCAAAGGCCCTCAACCCTAAACCCTAAACCCTAAACCCTAAACCCTATGGCCCTCAACCCTAAACCCTAAACCCTAAACCCTAAAACCCTAAAACCCCAATTGCCAAGGCCCAGGGGAACCAAGAAACTTGGAAGCCGATCATAGGTTGAGGGCCTTAGGGTTTCGGGTTTAGGGTTTAGGGTTTAGG